ATGCTGCACGAGGAATATATACTGCACTGAATCCCGGTATAAGGGTCCCCGGGTTGGAAACAACTTAAGGCAATAAGCTTACAGAATCGTGCAGTCCAAAGAGAGCATGTCCTCCTCCCGCCAATGCCCAGGCTGGACTACACGCAGGGGTCCTCAAACTTTTTAAACAGGGGGCCAGTTCACTGTCCCTCAGACCCACTGGAGGACTGGACTATAGTTAAAAAAAATTCCTATGCACACCACACCTATCTTATTTTGAAGTAAAATAACAAATGGGGCAAAAACACCCGGCGAGCCGCAGTTTGAGGACGCCTGGGCTAGAGCATTGCTCTAGAAGCCTCCCTTTGGGTGTGAAGTCCAGTTTCCTTTAGGACCATTTGTCATGTGGGATCCAGGCAACAATGAATTCAGCCTGTTTGATCAAAAGCATCATGTGAGGAACAAGCCCGGGCACCCATGGACCACTGTGAGTGAGTGCTGTCCTGGGACGTCTGGCCGCCTTTGGGGGGAGTCCACCTTGCTGCAGGTGCTCCTGGCTCTGTTGCCCTGTATTGAGATATTGGATGATTACACCCCACAGTGCACTTCCCCTTCCCACATCCATGTCACCCCCATCTTCTCATCAACGACCCTAAAATGAAGGGGGAGGGGGAGAGGCACCTTTTCCTGCCTCCCGTCGCCCTGCCAGGATCTCCGGCACAAAGGAGATTAAAGCAAAATCAGCAGTCGGTTGACATTGGATTTTGGTTCGGGGGAGTTTGGAGAGCATGCTAGTTTCACGGGCCACGCCTCCGCCGCCTGTTTTGCTTCCTGATGTTGATCCAGCCACACAAGGTGCCCTCCTGAGCCTGGCGCTGCCCTTCAGGCCTTGTGGAGGAGACTGCTAGCCTGCAAGGTGAGCCACAGGGGCGATTTCCGTGCCTGGTGGTGAAGGGATTCATCACCCTGGCCCTTCATCACCAGGAATGGAAGAGTCTCCGCTCTGGATTTGTTTCCCTGCCCCTTTGATGTCCTGCTCTTCCTGGAAGGGATGGATCAAGAGCTGTATCTTAGATGGCCACACTCAAGCTTTGAAGACCCAGTCACTACTCACCAAAGGCTTTTGGACACACCCAGGCAGCGATGTCTCTCAGGGACACACCCGAGCTTCTCTCTGTCCACAGAGAGCCCTGGTCCAGGCTGGGGCCTGCTTCTGAGCGGGGAGGTGGGGCTGTGGCCACGGGAGCCACACAGTCATTAGAACGGAGTCTCTAGGATTCAGTTAGCTGAGTTCCAAACCCCATCGCCCTCGGCCCTGAGAATCAGTCATGTCTGGGCACCGATGTCTCATCCAGGCCTTCCAGGTTGATAGCCAGAGCCCTGGGTGGTGCAGAGAGTCTGGGAGAAACCTGGGGCAGCGGTTCTCAACCTTCCTCATGCTGCGACCCTTTCATACAGTTCTTTTGTGGTGGTGACCCCCCCCAACCATAACGTTATTTCTGTTGCTACTTCATCACTGTCATTTTGCTACTGTTATCAATCGGGCGACCCCTGTGAAAGGGTCATTCGATCCCTAAAGGGGTCTCGACCCACAGGTTGGGAATGGCTGGCCTGGGGGATCAACTTTGAGCGAACACACCATAAGGTGAGGACGTCTTGGAGTTGGGTCCCACTGACACACCTTGGGTCAGCTTGGAGGTAAGTGGTTTTTAGCCCAAGGGAGATCCCAGAACAGCTCTCCTAAGTGATCTACAGGGAGTGACTGAGCCAGGAAGCTGCTGTGACTCATTGCTTACCGCTGTAGATCGTCAATAACTGCTCTCCTTGAGACAACAAGCAGGCTGTTCACACAGCTGCCCAGACGCTTTGAAGAGGCTCCGTCTCCACCACAGCCTCCTTAGGTGGCAGGCATTCAGAGGCTGTGCTGGGTGCAGGGTAGGGCCCTTTAATGCAGTTCTGTTGCCCAGTGGTGCAGGTGGGAGGAGATGGAGGGTGCCCCTGGTGCTACCCAGTCACGGGAATTTGGCACAAAGTCCCACGGTGTCTCCTTATACACACCCCTCACCCACTGGTTTCCTCTGTCACTTAAGAAGCAAAACCACCTGAGATTCTGTCAAGACTCACCAACTCTACCTCCTTAAACCTTCAAATGCTCTTCTCGGAACAGCCCACGAACATCAGAGAAGGAAATGCTGATAGCGCTGAAGACGGAGTTGAAAGGTAAGAACACACAGGTTTTGGAGAGAAGACTCGCCGTGTGAGTAACCTCATAAGGGAGCTGAGGAGGAGCGTCATATCTCGAGCTCTCCGGAGCATTGCCGAAGTACCCGCAGGGCCACATGCCCCAGCAGGCAGGAACTTCTCTGCCTGGCTGAGGGAGCCGCCGGCACTGAGAAGTGCATGCCAGGGCCTCTCCCCTCACGATTCTTGATGTCACTGCCCGGCGGGCAGCTGTGTCCGTCTGTCAGCGACAGGTTCCTTTGTGTCACTGACCGTCCACCTACCACGATGCACTGCTCTTCGCCACGGGCTGTGTTCTACAGAGGAGACCGGCGCCTCGCTGTCCGTTCTGCTGGCCATCCGCAGTATGTTTAATGTGCGTCAACACCACCATTTGACTATCGATTCTTCCTCGACTTCCACATTGTCCACCTTAAAAAAAAAGACACAGTTTTATTGGCACTTTATCCACATGCCATAGAATTCAGTAATTTGCCTAACTTTCGTATGACCGACCGTAGACTGTTGAAGACCACGGCTTGGGTCAGGCACCCTGGCCTTCAAGGAGAGGTTTGCAGCAGCACATCTCTTCAGGGCAGCAGTGGGTCATTGGTTCTTGACTGTTGCTTCCACGAATGAGGCGAGCGGGATGACAAATGGAGAAGTTAGCATCGGTGCAGTTTTTGTTTTTGTTTTTCCCTCTTCAAGATGAGGTACTGCAGGCTGTAGGCTTGGCACCGCATCAGTGCCTGCTCCTAGCCTTCACGTCCGGCGAGGTGGATGGCATCGTCCCTGGTCCTCCCTCTGACGACTCGTTCTGCATATGAGCGGAGTACGGAGAGCCACAGCCCTGCCTCACAGCAGCTCTCTGAGCACCGAGGGTTATCCCTGTCTGGTTCGGATCCAGAGTTGACACCAGTGAGCAGCTTTGTTCCTCCCGTGGAGAGTTAAGATGTCAGCTGAACCTCTGGGGGCGTGCAGAGAAATGTGGTGTAGTGTTGCTAGGATGGCCGGTGTGTTCTTCTTTGACCACTTGGTTCTCATTTGGGAGGTTGTCAGTGGCGTATCCAAGAAGGTATGACGGAGTGCGGTGCTAGAGTTGTGTCTGCCCCGGTGGGAGATAGCACGGTGGTGCCCGTGGGAGAGAGGTGTCTGCGGACAGCAAACGGAGTGGTGACCGACGGT